CACAGGAGATGTTCCACAATGCAAGATCTACGCGACGATCTTAGTTTGTATGAAGAAATTTTTTATTTGATTCAATATCTTATATATTTGTTAAAGCCGAATCTCTTTTGTAGATGTCATATGACTTTTTATTAATGAATTTTTTTTACTATTCAAATATATATATATATATATATATATATATATATATATATATATATATATATATATAATGGGATCATGTGAGACACACATCCTTTATGTGAGAACCTAGTATATGTGAGGACATATAACAACCGTTGGATCAATTGCATCCAATGGCTACCATTTATCCCGGTCAAACATACTTTCAAAACAAAAATCCAGCGTTTTCTCTCTCCTCCATTTTGACATGCTATTTTCTTTCTCCTCCTTCAATTTCACCGTACTCTGTTCTCTTTCTCTCTACTATTTGCTCTGATTCTTCATCAATTCTTCTTCAAACTTCATTGATTCTTCATCAAGGTGATTTTCGTTGATTTTAGTTTGATTTTCATTTTTTTGAGTAGTTATTAAGTTGATTTTAGTTTTATTTTTGCTTTATTTTCGCTATCTTACATTTTTTTCTTTTTTTGGAAACCTAGATATCACTGCTTATTTGTGCTATTACGTTGATTTCATTTTGATTTTAGGTTTGTTTGAATAATTATTAATTTGATTTTAGTTTTATTTGAGTAATTATTTTATATTTGTGTTTTTACCTTGATTTTTGTTTAATTTTTCGGCTTAATTTCTTCAATTGTGTTTAATTTTTTGGCTTAATTTTATTAGTTTGTGCTCGACTATTTCAGCTTAATTTTATCAATTTGTGTTCGATTTTTTCAATTTCTTCATCAATTTCTAAAAGTGCCTAATTTTGAGAGCAGTTTAGAAGAGCCTGATTTTGAGAGTAGCTTGGAGGAGCTTGATCTTGAGAGTAGGTTGGAGGAGGCTATACCTGAGTAGAGAACGGAGGAGTATGATTATAAGAATTAGTGATGAGTCATTATTGAATTTTTCTCACCCCCCTCATCTGTGTACTTGGTTATTGTTTGCATAATTAGTGATGAGTCATTATTGGATTGTGTTAAGGATTGGTCATTTGCTTGTTTAGGCGGCAGAAACAAGTAACTAAATTGAACAACTTTTCTCGTATATGCAATGAATCTTTCCTTGGATAGATATTCATGCTTTATCCAAAATGAACAATCATATAGGAAATATGTGATTCTTGGTAGATTTTAGGCAGAAAGTTACATTTTCTCACATTGAAAATTTCCAATTCCCTAAACTAGGCTACTATGTTAAGATTATCTGTCTTTGCTTATATGTTAACATTATCACAACTCTCAAGGTTCTTAAAATGGGTAGTTTTTTTTTTTTTTTAGGGAAAAAATGGGTAGTTTTCTGATTCATTAAACCATTGTAGTATAGAAACTACCCAAATTTGTTCCTTTTGACTTACTTTTTCTTGGTTGGTAGGACACTATTTTCTCACATTTAGGATCCTCTGTTTCTTGTTAGAAATGTGGTGAACCCCCCTTTCCCCCTCTTTATTTCTCTTCATATTATGAATATATTTTCCCATGCATGCCATCCTCCTTTGCGTTGATATATGAATACTTTTTTCACACTGCTGTGTGCTAAAGGTCTTTATAGACAAGAATACAAAAGATTCACAGCATATTCATAATATGCCTTTTAGGGTTTTGTCACTAGTTGCATTACTAGAGGCACCTCATAAATAAGTGTTTTGCTTGTTATGTTAATCCTCGGTGGTTCGTTAATGACTTGAGCTTAATATTCTTGAAGTGTTGAATTTAGTGAAAATTCGTGGTTGCATTCACCTAGTGTGCTGTCAATCTTATGGTCAAGGTTACGTGACGGAGTTTAGCTTGACCGGCAAGAATTAGAATTAGTTAGTAGTTGTGACGGAAGATTACAGTTGCAGATAGTGTTTGTAAATTGGAATGCAACTGTGATTATTAATATGTTGAATTTCAAATCAATTCTTGCTATTTTAGACTTTTTTGTGCTTGTGTCTTGATGATTTTGTTGGGCTAAGGGATTTTGTTTGGTTAAAAGCCGACTGACATAATTGAAATTGATAATGACTCAAATCCATCTTAAAAGGAGAAATAAGCATACCATTCATATGTACCTTGTGATATTTGAGCTGGTTATGCAGCATGTAGGATCTAAACACGTCTCCTCATTTAGAAGATCTTGGTTTAGGGTTTTCTTACAAATTTGCTTCTTAATTTGATTTTTTCCTTTGTTTTAGTTAGCATACATTTATTTCGTTTTTTTTACATATAAGTAGAACTGTTCAGTGCTATGGATTCTTCGGTTGCTATGGATTCTACTAATGCTATTGATTCTACCAATGCTAAAGATTATATGGATGTACCTTTGGAAAGGTAAATGTACGTGTTTTCTTATTTACTCATTTTATGTTTTCTTGGTCAATATAATAGTTATTGTTTGGATAAAACTTGCTCATTTTATGTTTTGTTGCTCATTTATGAAATATCAGGTTTTTGATTTTGTATAGCATATATGATGAAATGTATGTTCTGTTTGGAGTTGCAGTCATTTGTTAAATTAGCAACTAAGTATTTGCTCATTTCCCAAATGATCAAAGAAATGTTTGCTTATTTTACAAATGAGTAACTAATTATTTGCTCATGTGACAAATGAGCAAACTAATGTTTGCTCATTTCACAAATGAGCAAAGAAATGCTTGCTGATTTAATGAATGATTAAAGAAATGTTTGTCCATTTGACAAATGAGCAACTAGCAATATTCTCATTTGACAAATGAGCATCTAAGTTTTTGCTCATTTGTTAAATTAGCAACTAAGTATTTGCTCATTTGACAAATTGACAAATGAGGAAATAACTATTTGCTCATTTGCTAAATGAGCAAAATATTGATTGCTCATTTGACAATTGTTCATTAGATAATTTATCAGCCTATGCTTCTCTATCATAACATACTCCAGATCCTCCCCTAAAGTATCCTTAGATAAACCATACTAGATGCAAAATATTAATTGCTCATTTGACAATAGTTCATTAGATAAGCCATACTAGATGTTGATTCTGATGCAACCAATGTATCATTCCTGTGAACAATAGGTGACAGTTGCACAAACTATTGACGCTCATTTCACCAATGACACCAATGACCTCAGAGCAGCCTCAACATCAGCAAGTGGCTGACGAGCATAAAGATTTAATTCTCCCTTCCTTAGAACAAATACTTTGTTGTCAAGAGCTTCCTAAAATAGGTAGTTTCGTAGGTTCTTCTAGTTGATACACACTCTCCCAAACTCTTCTTTTGCCATTCGAAACAGCTCTCTAAACACCTCGCTCTTCAGATATGACAAGGAGATCATAAACCATTTTCCATCTACAGTATACACAACAAAATGACCTTTTTGTTCATTTGAATAGGTTTATTGTTTTGCTCACTTATATAGTTTTATTATTTGCTCATTTTTCATATGAGCAAATAATTGTTTGCTCATTGAACCATTCAATTCTCATTTGTCAAATGATCAAATAATTGTTTGCTCATTTGTCAAGTGAGCAAATAATTCATTGCTCATTTTTAAATGTGCAAACAATTCAATAGGTTTATTGTTTTGCTCACTTAATTAGGTTTAACTATTTGAATTTTACTTTATTTCTTTGCTCATTTAGGTTTTCTCAATTGCTCATTTTTATTGTATGTGTTTTTGCTCAATTTATTTTAGTTTGATCATTTAAATTTCAGTTTATTAGCTTGCTCATTTAATTTTAGTTTAATTCGCTCACTTTAATTTCATTATATACGAGCAGGAAAGATATTGACAGTAATGGTTCCTCTGTGAAAGAATGCACACCCGATGTTTCTTCTGAGCAACCTCCCGATGTTCCTACTAAGCAACCACTTTATGAGGAACCGCCTTCTGTGCAACCACCTTCTGAGCAACCACTAGATCGGCTTGAATCTGAATATTAATTGCTAACCATTTGTCTTAGATCTGCTTGACCTTAACTGTTAGCCAAAATGATTTTGGTCTTAGCTAAGCCAAGATCAGCCAAGAATTTACTAGTTCCTATATTGGTGTGTTGTTGCTTACATAAAATTGTTAGCTTATTAGCTCAATTGGTCGAACACTGTGTTTTTTCATTACATATTAGAAGATGTAGGTTCAAATCCTACATAGGCTAGTAGTAAAAAAACATTTATATTTGTATTCAATCTAATGAACTTAATAGGATATAGTCACAATTGTTACATTTAACTTATGATTACCCTTCTCTTAGAATGAATAAACAAATATTGCTCATTTTAGCCGATTGATGCAAAAGAGCAAAGCAATGTTGCTCATTCCATAATTTAGCAAAATATATTTCGTCATTTCATAATTGAGCAAAATAATTTTGCTTATGTCATAATTGAGCAAAGAATTGTTTGCTCATTTGATAAATGAGTAAAGAATTGTCAAATGAGCAAAGAATTGTTTTCTCATTTGACAAACAAACACAAGAATTATTTGCTCGTTTGATAAATGAGCAAAGAATTGTTGCTCATTTGATAAATAAGTAAAGAATTGTTTGCTCATTTGATAAATGAGTAAAGAATTGTTGCTCATTTGATACATGACCAAATAATTGTTTTCTCATTTGATAAATAAACACAAGAATTGTTTGCTCATTTGATAAATGTTACAAAGAATTGTTTGCTCATTTGATATATGAGCAAGGAATTGTTTGCTCATTTGATAATGGGCAAGAAATTGTTTGCTCATTTTATAAGATTGCAAAGAAATGTTTCTCATTTGATACATGAGCAAAAAAATTGTTTGCTCATTTAACAAATGAGCAAAGAATTATGCTCATTTGACAAATGAGCAAAGAATTATTGAGTAAAAAATATATTTTCACTAGTTGAAAAACTTAAATGCGCACCGGTTATTAAAAACCGGTGCGAAAAAAATAGGCGGGATTGAGGGAAAAAGTTTTCGCACCGGTTCTAACCAAACCGGTGCAAAAAATTAATTAATCGCACCGGTGCGAAAAATGAGTTAATCTCCGAACCAGTGCGAAAGCTATTGTTAAATAAAAAAAAACCCGGTCTGTATATATACTCTTTCATTTCCTTGATCTTTCCTCCTCTCTCATCTGCCTCTCTCTCTCCTCCATTGAAGCGTACTCAAAATTCTCCATTGAAGGGGCTTCTGAGCTTTCTCTTAGCACTTTCCTCAAACTCCTTATTTCTCCTTCGATCTCCTTCTCCATAACCGCCACTTTCCCTTTCCTTTCTTCTCTCTTTCGACCTCCTTCTCCTTCTCTGTCCGAAATCAGCGTCATTAGAAGCAAGCACAACCAACATCGCCGCTGCCGTCAATTTTTCCTTCTTTCTATTTCCCCTCTTCGTTCTTTCTGTTTCCCCTCTTCCTTCTTATCTCTCTCTTCTCTCTCCTCTCTCCTCAAACAAACCCTAATCTACTGAAGATTTTGGCCTTGAATGACCTGTTGCCCTCCTTCGAAAACCGGCGTCAATTTGAACCAAGGACAACCATCATCGCCGCCGCCGTCTATTTCCTGAATCTACAATATTGGAGGTTAGGGTTTCTGGGCGCGTCTATGTTAAATCAATTCGATGTGCGTGCGTCTTCAACAACAACAAATTCGAATCAATTTCGAACCAAAAATCAGAAATTCGAGGTTAGGGTTTCTGGGTTATTTAGCTTTGCGTTATATTTTGGTCTTTTGGTCTAATTATTCATGTTAAATGCTTTGAAATTTTTGGTTTAATTGATGTAACATTGTTCAAAATTTGTTGAAGATGGCTGGAGAAACTGATACCTACAACAATGGAGGTAACAACGCTTTTAATGAAGATAAGAAGCCTGCTCCTGATCAATCTACTCATATCAATCTCAAGGTTAAAGGTCAAGTAATTATTTTTAATTTTTTTTGGCGATTCTTTTGTTTTTTCTGTGAATTTTTTTTGCTTTTTTAGGATTTTTGTGTCAATTTTGTATTTTCTTAGGTTAAAGGATTTTTGTGTTAATTTTCTGTAAAATCGTTGCTGGTTTGGATGATCCGATGAAATTAATTATGCGATTTTGATGTTTCTGAATCATTTATGACAATGCATGCATATTTAAAAAGAGTGTTAATGTTGTGGAAATTGGGCATTTTTTTGGTTGATTTGGGTGAATTGGGATTTTTGATGGTTTATTGATGCTATGTTACTGTGGGTGAATATGTTACTCTGACGAGTAAAAGTATAATCTTTTAGATTATATAAATTTTTTGTACATTATGTATTCAGTTTTCACTGTATCACTTATTAACATTAATTTGAAAAGAGGAGATGGAGTATTAAATAAAGCTGATAGTGTTAGTAGTATGTACATAAATACATGTAGCAAAATTAATACTCTGCAGTAAACTTTTACGACACAAATTTGTTAGTTGATTGTTGCTTGATTTTAGTACTTCATCAAGCAATTTATGATTATGATTTGTTTTCAATCCCATTATGCAGTAAATTAATTTAATTATGCGAAATTTCCTCTAAACTTGGTGTATCTATATGATAATTATGGCTTTTCAATTAATGTTATATTGCATGTCTAGTGCGTAGTTGCTTTGCTACCTATTTGTGGTAAGGTGTATGGATGACACATTCAAGTAGTGAACAAAAAGAATAGAGACTTTTGGAGGGTAATGGGAGAAATAAAAGTTGTAAAGAACAACTGTGTAATTTGATTATACCATTTGAAGCGAGAAGGGCTAACTACATATGAAATACATAGGGCTGCTATTAAAAGTAGAAAATAACATAATCTGATGTAGGAACATGTGTCAATTTTTATGGAAAAATAAGGACTCTTTATTTGTTAAATCTATGGTATTGTTTGATTATTTCTGCTCCTCACCATTTCAGCACCACAAAATGATAAAATGTGACTAATAAGTTGATCCAATGATTCATATGAGGACTCTCCTTTCATTAGGCAACACTTTGCTTTCTCTTTCAAAGCATTTACCCTTTCTCTCATTTCTTGACCTTCCTTTTCAAAATCCTCTAATAAAATAATAATCTTCTAGATTTGGTTAGGAATGAATGCATGATGTTATAAAATAAAATATAATGCATGACCAGAATATATTTTGTTGTTTAAAGCTCAACTCCAGTCCTAAAAATTGGTGAATTTACTACAAATTTTTGAAGTTAAGTCTAAATATATTCATAACTTCTGAGATGACTGTCACTTTTAATGTTTGTGCCAGAACTTATATGTCTATTGTGATGCATTCAGGTTCTATCACCATAGTGGAGGACATGGACAGCCTGTTTCATACAGGCAGCATGGCGACGATACAGCAGAAAGAAGCATGGGAAATCATTACGAGACGCTCTTGCAAAGGGGGTTGGAAGCTCACCTAGCTCTGGTGTCACAGTTTATGCATCAAGGTTTGCTGCCAATGCACTTCGTAAACTGTGAATGATTGGTTGTTGCATTTACGGTATACAATCAATTAGGAACGGCCGAACGGTCAATTTGTAATCACCAGTGTAAGGTTATGTGAATCTTAGTTATTTTACCCCCAGCCTCCGCCTTGGGACAGAGCCTTCTATGTGTAACTAGTTTAGGCCTTCAGGCTCTTGATCATGGTATCTGTTTTGTTTGGAGAATCTTATGCTAAACCATCAAAATAAAATATCCAATGAACTTTAGTAATGGACTTGATTCTGAGCTGTGATGTCTGGACTTAATACAATTTAAAATTCTATTTTTATTGTTGAGTAATTGTCATGCAAGAAGAATTTTCTGGTTTGTACAACTTTTGTTCTTTTGATTGTAGTATCTGTATTATGGTTCTGTAAGAACTTGAAGTGCATCTAATGTCCAGTCACACACACACACACACACACCAATTCTACCCGCTTCAAGTCATGGCACTAATTTACCAGTTTGAAGGCTCGGGATATACAACCTTGGCTGCTTATTTTTGTTTTCTTTTTACCCTTGTACATATGCAATGAGATTAAAGTCATTCAAATTTCTCTGCAACTGCGTGCTTGATGGTTTTATGTGGGCTATGTGGCTGAACTTGTTGAAGGATCTAGAGATAAGGCACAAAAAAATGGTAAAGAATGGGCCTGAGATAGCTGTGTTTTTCTTATGCAACATTACTCTCTTCTGTCGTGGTTGTTTTTAGGTCATATTACAGTCTAAGATTAATTGATTTAGGATTCCTACTTGAATTTTTCTTTGGATGTTAAGAGAAAGGATTCTGGTAGTTTGTTATTTCTGTGTAATCCTTTTTTTTTTTGGCTCTATAGAAATTAGAGCATCAAGATAGAACTGAGGAGAATCAGAAAGAAAATGATAAGAAGATACACACTTAGTTTCATGAACAACCAACATCACAATAAAACAGCAAAAAGGACCAACAACAGCAGTAGCTACCAGCAAGGTTACAACATAAAGATGTTGAAGTGCTGGTTAATTGTAATATTATAGCCTTTTTTAATGAAAATATGTAACTTTATATATATGTTAGTGTTTATATATCAATTTAAGTGAAAAAAATGCAAAAAAAAAAACAAAAATTTATTTTTTTGGGGCATTTTTGGCACCGGTTTTGAAACAGAACCGGTGCTAAATTTTTTATTTTTATTTTTTTGGGCCATTTTTTGCACCAGTTCACAGCAAGAACCGGTGCGAAATCTAAGAATTGGCACCAGTTTTGAACCGGTGCGAAATCTTCTGGTTTTTGGCATCCCTCAAATCTGGACCAGTTCAAAACCGGTTCTAAATGGGGGTTTTGAACCAGTGCTCATTAATATTTTTCGCTTAGTGTTTGCTCATTTCATAAATGAGAAATATTTTTATCATTTCATAAATGAGCAAAGCTCGGTTCACATATGAGCAAATATTTTTGCTCATTTGTGAAATGAGTAAAATTGTTTTCCTTATTTCAAGAATGAACAAAATTGTTTTGTTCATTCATTAAATTGATACTAATGAGCTAACAAGTATAGATGCGCAGTCCTTTCACAAGTTTTATCATTCTAATAGTTTGTTCAAATTTAATAAATTTTGGTCATTGTGATTAGTTGTTACACAAATGAGAATATATGTATGATTATTAGACTTGGATGAAAAAAAACGTTTTGTTACGTGTTTCCTCAAATTTAAGAAGTTTTGCTCATTTGCATTAGTAAACCTATGTGGGATTTGAACCCACTTTCTTTGTGCATTTTACTACTAGAAAACAAGCCATTTTTTACGGAAAAATCCCGTCGGAATCACCCTAAATTCCGTCGGAAAAATCCGTATCCGACGGAATTCCGTCGGAACCGGTTGTCGAAAAATCTTTTGTAGGAAAAATGACCTTTTTCTATGAAATTCCGTCGAAAAGGGAATTCCGGCACCAGAAAAATTCGTCGGAAATTTCCGACGGATACTGTTCCGTCGGAAAATGGTTTTAAAAAAACAAAAAAAAAAAACGCCTCCCACCACCCATACCACCGGCCACCAGCCCCCCTAACCCGTACCACCAGCCCACACCACCCACCACTACCACGTCCAACCCCTTTCCCCACAACACCCACCACCACCACGTCCAACCGAAAAACCCGCCCACCACCTTAACCCTAACCCGTATCCCCTCCCCACCACCCAAATACCACCACCCACCTCGCCATTCCACACCCTCCCAAACCACCACCGAAACCACCCAAAACCACCACCGTAACCACCCAAAAGTACATCAACAAATTCCGTCCAAAAAACGGATCTACCCACCACAACCTCACCAACCCAGCCACCAAAATCCGAACTCCAACATCCACCACCACCACCATAAATTTCAAAAAAAAAAATCGAAAAAACAACAAAATTAATTAAAAAAAAAAAGATACATACCTTAATTCGACCACAGAAAACCTCGAAATTGGGTTTACGAGGCCAAATTCGACCATGAAAACTCTAGATCTAGAGTTTTCATGGTCGAATTTGACTTGAAAACCTTGTGTTGTTGATGTTGATGGCGAAAAAGACGGAAATTTGTTGTTGATGTCGGCGTTTTGTTGTTGATGTTGATGGCGAAAATGGCCAAATTTGTTGTTGACGAAAATGGTGAAAACCGAAAGAGGGGTAAGAAGAGGAGAGAAAGAGAAGAAGAGCGAGAGAGGAGAAGAGGAGGGAGAAGAACGAGAGGAAAGGAGAGGAAGAGAAGGGGTGTAGAGGAAGAGAAGGAGGAGGAGAGAAAAAGAGAATTGATGAAATAAAGGGGGAGGGGCGGTTTTTAAGGGTTTGTTTTTTTTATTATATAATTATATTCCGACGAAATTTCCGATGGATTTTATTTCCGTCGGAAATTTTTATTCTGACGAAATATTCCGTCGGAAAGCCCATATATTCCGACGGATTTCCTACGGAATAAAAATCTGTTGGAATTTCTGATTTTTCCGACAGAAATACGTGTCCGTCGGAAACCGGCTTATTTCTAGTAGTGTTTGCACAATGCTCTACCAATTGAGCTAGTAGGTTAGTTTTATGAGAAAAAAAATTGTCAAAAGAATCATCTCAAATTTTTAATGAAGCATATCACTTTCAGATATAGGAATTACAAAGATTATGCTCAACCCACCTAAAAAGGAAACCAGTAGCCAATATAACATGTAGCCATGCAACCAAAATTGAAGTGATCACAGAGAAACTAGCAATCCTACCTTTTACAATAATGACGTAATAAAGGTATCCACAGTGCTGGTGGCTAGTACAAAACTCTTGCTATATACATGTTTGCCTTTAAGACCATTATTAGCAGTGAGGGAAAAAAAAACCTCTCAATCTCTCTCTACCCACTTTCTCACTCTTCTCATACAATTCCTCTCATTAAATGTTTTTTTCACCACATCAATGAGGAGAAAAAAACCTCTCATCACTTTCTCCTCCACTATTTACTATACCCCACTATATACACATCATCTTTTTATTTTATCTTTATTTTGAAATAATGTTTATACTACGTATTTGATTTTCCAATACAATTAAAAAATAATATTTAATTTTTCAATTACGTTCTTTTTATAATTTTGACTGGGAATTTTTTTAAAGAATAATTACAATAATAATAATAACAAGAAGAAATTGGGAAAATATGTTAATTTCTCTAATTTATGGTTTTTTTTTTAAAGTATATCAAAATATAATAAAATGCATGTCTATTTATAGAGAATTAAATTTTATGGCCGTTGGTGATTTTTTTTTTTAAATAATTACAACGGTTACATTTTGATTACAAAATATAACCGTTGTAAAAATTCACGAAAATAGCTGATTGGCTGAGCATAAAGGCACTGACGCGTGTCACTTCCCAATTGGCTGGGCTGACGCGCGACCTTTCCCATTTTTTTTTCTGATTCAAAGACCAAAACGACGTCGTTTTGGCTGTTTTAAGCGCCAAACGACGTCGTTTTGGCTAAGAATCTCAGAAAAAAATAGAAATTTGCACGTGCTGTGGGCCCCACCATATTACTGTTCATCCTCAAAAACCCTCAACTCTTGAGGAAAATCAGTTTCACTCAACGGTGAGTGGTTTTTCACTCACTGATGTAGTGTTCGGGTTTTTTTTTTTACACCTTAATTTTTACTCGTGAGGGCTTTTCTCCTCGATGCTGTGAATGCTCTAAGAAAATTGTAAATTAGAATCATATCAAGTACATGAGCAGGTACGAAGTTATAAAATACAACCAATGTAGCTTTTAACTATAGAAATCATAAAATGGTTTACAGTGCATCTACAAAGTACACTGTACTGCTGGTTTGTCGACTTATTGAGTCCCCCATTTAAGCCTAAATATAAAGAGAAGCAGAAATGATAAGGCCCAAATTAAAGCACCCAAAGGTTACAAACCATAGAATTAGAGATGAATATAAATTGAGGATGCCAAAAATAAAAGAATAGCAAGGCTGTTAACCAAACTTAAACTGCTCATGTAAGAAAAAGTCAGCTATATACACTATTTTGGAAAGAAAACTGAAGGGAGGCCTGTAGTGAAACTAAATACTGAGCTAGCAAAGAAACAGAGCTGTAGTCCTACAAAGTTCACATGCTACGATGCAAAGAAAGGTCAAAACCTTGAAGAAGTTTTCGTTTTGGATTCCCAATTTGCTGGAATGCTTTTCAACTTTCAAGCCATTTGAAGGTTTTCAAACTTTGACCTAAGTACCAATGAATATGGGTATTTACAATCTGCTAAGTTACTCTTCAACTTTCAAGCCATTCTAAGGCTTTCAAACTTCCACCTATATACTGATGTCACAATAATGTAGGATTGTAGGCACTCGACAATTGAGAAAATATAATAACTTATAATAATCAGTCAGTACTCAGAGGCTCATTTACAATAATATATAATAAAACTAATATATAAATTAAAGAAGCTGAAACCTAACTGATATATAATAAAAGAAGATGAAATCTTAACTTAAAGGAACATTTACAATAGATAAGAAATGTTGCTCATGTGATAAATGAACAAAGATTGTTTGCTCATTTGATAAACAAATAAAGAATTGTTTGCTCATTTGACAAATGAGCAAAGAATTGTTGCTTATTTGATGAATGAGCAAAGAATTGTTGCTCAATTAGTCCAAGTAATCATTTCTAATAAATTTAACCTAATTATATCAGTTTTCACTAAAATAGAAGCATAGCTTTGATTAAAATTATCAATTTATTACATCCAGTTCGAAATTTTTGAATCTGCCAAAAAATCAGAAAAAGAAA